TAGCCAAGTCTAATTGGATGAAGAGAGTATATCTTTTTAGCATTTATATGGATCATGTTTATCTACTATACAATCTCAAGAATGCATAAAAAATATTTTACAAAATCATACGGAGTACTTAACTCTGCACGTAATCAAAATGTTTTCCAAAATAAGCTGAAAATTAGACTTATCTATTAAACTTTACCCAAAATTGTCCATCAAATTGTGGAGACACTTGGGCTATGTTTGGCACGCCACCTAAGCTCAAAAAGGGCTGAAATTCTTTAAATCCAGCCAATTAATATCAAAGTAGCTCTGTTTGGGGGAATGACTTATATGAGCTTAAACTGAAAATAACCAACTGAACTAAAACGTTGGTATTAATGGTATATCAAACGTTTAGGTTCAGCCCTTGTGCAATAGACCTCCATGCCCATTACCTTGTTGCCACTTCCCTGTTTATAGCCTCCACCTACTATGTATAAATAGTCTCATCCCTCATATGTATATAAAATTATATAAACGAATATACAGTATTTGTTTGTTCACGTTGACCATAATTTGTGCAGCTGATTTTTAAGATTTTATAAATTTAATTTAAATAAATAAATAAGTTGAATAAATAAGACATAAAAATAATACGGAGTGAAAAATGGTCATGAGCTAGGATGAAATAGGTTGAATTACTTAATCATAAACATGATTCATAATGATACTACGTAATTAGTTGGGATGAAATAAGCTAAACAAATAAAATATATGTTTACGTGAAAAACTAGTAATTTAATCATGGTTATAAATATTTTGAATAATACGTAGTATATTTTATGCCCTTAAATTTTACATTTTTCAGTCACTCTTTCAGCTTTTTTTGCCAAACGGGCAACTTGATTCAGCTAGCAGTTCAGATTCAGCACTTTGTAATTCAGTTCCCGACAATAGTATCTAATTCAGACAATAGCTTTCAATTTAGACATTAGTCTCCAGTCCCAGCTCGTACAAACATAGAAGCTGTTCCGTTCGTCTTAATCTTATTACTTATTCCTTAATCTTATTTTATTCAGATCAGATCAGATCAGATCAGAAAGATTCAGATCAGATCAGATCAGATCAGAAAGATTCAGATCAGATCAGATCAGATCAGAAACATTCAGATCAGATCAGAAAGATTCAGATCAGATCAGCAACATTCAGATCAGATCAGAAAGATTCAGACCAGATCAGACCAGATCAGAAACATTCAGATCAGATCAGAAACATTCAGATCAGATCAGATCAGATCAAAAAATTCAAACATGATTTATCACTTTTATTATTATATTAATTATGATTATTATATTATAGTTATTGTTAATAATATTAATATATTAATATAATAATATTAATAATAATAATATAATAATAATGTTAATAATATAAAATTATTATTATATTATAATAATATAATATAATATAATATAATATTATATAATATAATATAATATAATATAATATAATATAATATAATATAATATAATATAATATAATATAATATAATATAATATAATATAATATAATATAATATAATATAATATAATATAATATAATATAATATAATATAATATAATATAATATAATATAATATAATATAATATAATATAATATAATATAATATAATATAATATAATATAATATAATATAATATAATATAATATAATATAATATAATATAATATAATATAATATAATATAATATAATATAATATAATTATAATTATAATTATAATTATAATTATAATTATAATTATGATTTACAATGTAATTATAATTATAATCATCATTATTATTAATATGATTGTTGTTCTTGTTGTTATTTTTGTAATTATTATTACTTCAGAGTAATTATATATTTAAATTAGTAATTATAGATATAATTATGATTATAGAGATAAATATTATAATTATAATTACAAAAAAATAATTATAAAATTAATCATAATTAAAAATATAATTACATTTATAATTGTATCTGTATTTATAATTAGTGTAATTGGTATAATTATTATAATTTTAAATTTAATTTTAATTATTATTTTTTTATAATTATGATTATAATTGTAATTTTATTTAAGTTATATTTTTAATTACAATTATAAATCTAATAATTATAATTATAATTAGAATTATAGAAATATTCAAATCAGATCAGAAAGATTCAGATCAGAAGAATTCAGATCAGATCAGAAACATTCAGATCAGATCAGATCAGATCAGCAACATTCAGATCAGTTCAGCAACGTTCAGATCAGATCAGAAAGATTCAGATCAGATCAGAAAGATTCAGATCAGATCAGATCAGATCAGAAAAATTCAGATCAGATCAGATCAGATCAGAAAAATTCAGATCAGATCAGATCAGAACTTAAAAAATTCAGATCAGAAACATTCAGATCAGGTGAACGGAACAGCTTCATAGTCTTATACTAAAGAAAACTTTATAATCTTTAATTTTAGGATGTTTTTAATTTGACTGGAATTTTATGGTATGTCCTGGTTTGGTCTAATTCGGTCTGATTGATGTCTAATTTTTATGTATTTTATAACTATCCTAATCTGATTTGTTCCTATTTGACCTGGTTTGATTTAATTCGATCTAATATGATAAAAATATCCTAGGGAAACATGTTGTCTTCTAGGCTATTTCTTCAATGATTGTTGACCGTATTGTTGTCTTTGCTGTGATAGGATATTCAATGAAATGAAATTTGTAACATGAAACGGAACTAAGTGTTCAAATTGTCTTCTAAAGCTGTCCGCGAATAGTTATGGAAGGAGCCAAAAATTCCGAATTTTTCTATTGGTACGGGTCCTAAGGTTTTCATTCAAAATTTGTTGCATCTTAAGCAAAAAAAAAAGTTTTTGAGGGTCAGGTGGGAAATAGGGATGACAACGGGGCGAATCGGGGACGGTTTTATAAATAATCGTAATCGTCCCGTTGGGTAATTCTCCCCCCATAACGGCCCATTATCCTACGGGTAATTTTTCTTCAAGTCATAATCGCACCAATGGTTAATGGGTATAACCGCGTATAATTTCGGGTAACCGTTTAATTAAATGAGTCATTGATATTTTAATATAAAACAATAATTTAAAAGGTAAAAATTGGCAACGCTTAGATGACTCTAGGCGTCAAATGCCACTTAAAAGTTTCGCATATCTACAAGATGAGAAAAAGACAACCTAAATTAATTTGAACCTAAAACTTAATCCGAAAAAAAACTGATAATAATGAAACAAGACTATTAAAGTCTATTATGACATTCCGTTCATACACTATAACTAGTATATTTATTATCCGTATATACACAATGAAAAGAGAAATATCTCATCTTTTATTAGTTGTGGAATAAATCATACATAAAAATGTAATAAAAATATAACTAAAAATTAAACAGGGCGGTTACGGGGTGGGTAATGAGGCGAACATGTATACAACTGTAACCGCCCCATTACCCGTAAAAATAAAACGGGTATTCCCCGCCCCATACCTGTTACGCGGTCAATGCGGTTTTCCCCGGTTTGACCGGGGTGGTTCGGTGCGGGTATCCATGAGGTCGGTCACAATTGTCATCCCTAATTGGAAAACCATTGAGATGAGAATAGGCTTGTTCACCCAAGTGAGAGAAGGAAAGGAGCACACTGGGTTTTAGCAAAAGCGGCTCTCGGGGGCGGATTGAAAGACGAACCCACACAAAATAAAAATCTCAATTATCATTAAAATGATGTGACTTTTTATTTGTAACCCAATTTATATAGAAAATATATCAATAAACATTTTTCATATGAGACTAATATTGCCGGTCAAAAAAAATATGACACAAATATTGCATGTATAACTTTTTATAAAGAATATGAAATTTCATCTAATGAAGATATTTAGGTCCAAAATTTTTCTTAAGTAGATTTAGATTCTAAAATTAAGATCTTTTGACAAATCTCTTGGTAAGTTTTATTAAAAATAGGTCTAAAGAAATAGAAAAATCAACTCCAAACTTATTTATTCTTACATCATAATGTTGGCTTTTCAAACCATAATTATTGAAAAAATTGATGTATGATATCAAAAGAAATACTTTAATTAAAGACTTTGATGGACAAATATATTGATGGTGTAGGATTGCACAAAAATACTATCCTCCGTCTCTTTTTAATCGCAACATGTTGACTTTTTGCACTGTTCATATGATCTACTTTGACTACATTTCACACTATTATTTTATGGAAATTATTTTTTAAAAAATATATTTTTCAATTCATTTCATTACAAATTTTCAAAATCTGATTTTTAAGATTTTTTATTAATAGAGATTAATATATACTTACGGTCAAATGTGTGAATTGACAAATATACAAATGTTGACTGTTGCAACCAAAAAAGAACGGAAGAAGTATATAACTCACAATGAATAATCCGTACATTATAAGAGATAATTGGTTGTATATAGGTTTTTAGCATGTATGTTTAACTTAATGTTAGATATTTAATGGAAGGGTAGGGTACTACGGATGGGGATCCTCTGCCGTGCGGCAGAGAACCTTGCCGCAAGGTAGCCGTCGGATGAGGAAGGTGAGGCCTCGAGATTCGGACTTCGAAATCTTCTGCCGTCCAAATATTGATCGTGCGGTGGTGAGAAGCCGGGCAGAGTGCCTTACTCCTAAGTAAGGCAGACACCCCGGATCCGGGTACTACGGTTAACCTAAGCACATTCCATTGATCTATTCTATAAATATTCATCACAAACTCAATATTTATCGCATACCGAAAAGGAGCATTACTCCGCATATCACACATATTCTCCCTCCCATCTCTGGCAGGCAAAGTGATAACTTGTTTACCAATTACCAGGCCCACCCACTTGATCCTCTCAACCCATATCTTCTGCGTTTCTCTCCCCTTCAACCCCAAAATTAACTCCCAAGTGGGCACCTTCCCAAGCTAAATCTCGAATCTTGACCCAGAAATTTGGCCAAAAATGACAGGTGAGAAGCTGAAGGTGATCATGAAGGACTCAACAATGGTCAAACCAGCAAAACCCACACCAGCAAAGAGGCTGTGGAACTCCAACTTGGATTTGATAGTGGGCAGAATCCATCTGTTGACTGTGTATTTCTACAAGCCAAACGGGTCCCCAAATTTCTTTGATTCAAAGGTGATGAAGGAGGCTCTCAGCAATGTTCTGGTCTCATTTTACCCCATGGCTGGGAGGTTGGCTAGGGATGAGGAAGGGAGGCTGGAGATTGACTGTAATGGTGAAGGGGCTCTGTTTGTTGAGGCTGAAAGTGATGCCACCATTGATGACTTTGGTGACTTTGTCCCAAGTTTGGAGCTTAGAAAGTTCATTCCTTCTGTTGATACTTCTGGGGATATCTCTTCTTTCCCACTAGTCATTTTCCAGGTACTCCCTTGATTCATTTTGTTAAATTTATTGGAAAGACTGATTTAACTAAATCAGAGTATTTGTTGAATTGTGAGAAATATGAAATATACTTGAGTTAAATAAAAACATACCCCTTTGAACATTGTTTGCAGCAGGTTTTCCTTTTGATCTGCATCACTACCGTTAATTTGTTTCCAGAAAGAGTACTTTTTCTACTGACTATCAGTTTTCCGACTTTTAAGCTTTTTTTCACTCCTTATTCACTATCATTAGTACGAATTATTTCATCCAAACTACTCCGTATGAAACTGCTATTCTCTCGAAATTTATGAATTTCTGATTAAACTAGTTAGATTGACTGATTTTGGTGATTGATCTTTTCTGAATTTATGAAATTTATGAATTTATGAAACAATAACTAAAATGATCTTTTATACTATTTGCATATAATAAAGTGAAATGATGTAGGACACATATTTCTTTCCAAAAAAGGAAAAAAGACACTTATTTTGGGACAACGTAAAAAGGAAAGTAGGACAGGTAAAATGGGACGGAGAGAGTAGTACTTTCAATCAATATAACTAGAAAAGTACTTTACTTTTTATTATTATTCTACGGTCTACAATTTAGCAGGCGAAATCAAGTCAATTAATTTTATTATTTGTACTTTTCATCTTTCTCTTTCATATTATTTCACTCGTCATCTCCTCTCATAATTTTTCTGCTATATCTATTATCTTGAATGCATTTCCTTTAAACAATGTACTCCGTAGCAAATAAGAGAGTATATTTTATCAAAAAAATAAAGAAATTCTTTATGAAAAAATAAGTAAAATTGGGCGTTAAAACCGGTGTTTAGTTAAAAAAGTTTATTGACGAGTAAAAATCAGAAGTCGTCCGCGGGCCCTAAAACTCACTTTTTTCATTATTAACATGTTCATGACTTTTATTTCCAACCATGTTCATCACGTGTTACCAAGAAAATAAAATGATGTACAGTAGAAAAAGGCTGGTTAGTGAAAAAGTAAAAGAAAAATGGACAAGAATAATCCTAACTATCAATTATTCCGAATAATCCAAAGTATCAATTATTTTAAAATAATCCCTACTATTGAATAAAATTCTCAAAATGCTCCAGTGACTTATATTAACCAGTAAATATTATAAGTCATTTATAGGCTATTACAAGTCATTGGAGCATTTGAAAATTTTATTCAATAGTTGAAATTATTAATACCTTGGGTTATTTAGAGCTGATCACGGGATTACTAAAAATATGACCAAAATAAAAATGGTTTACAAAAATATGACTAGTTACTAGAGTAGTAATGAAATCATAGTAATTCATGTTCAAGTTTTGAACTTAAGTTACCTATGGTTTCAAATTACGGACCGCAACCGCAATTGCGGCCGCAATATTGCGGTTGCCGAGGGCACCGCAACCGCATCAGCCCGCAACACCCTTATGATTTGGAATCACGGCCAAAACCGCAACGTAACCGCGACGAAACCGCAACGTAACCGCGACGGTGCCGCAACATCCCGCAATAGGCCGCAATCGACCGCGACGTGCCGCAACAGACCGCAACGCCTCCGCCTGTCCATCATTCTTTCTGGTGTGAACTTGAAAATAATTCACGCCGCAGCGGCCGCAATACGCATCGCAGCGGCCGCATTAGCCGCAACCGCAACAACCGCAACCGCAATTTAAAACAATGAAGTTACCAGAACACTATGTTCTAGTAATGAATAGTCATATTTATGTAAATAAGTTTTATTTTAGTAATATTCTTGTAAAAAAAATCCATTATTTTTCCTTTCATTTTTTCCCCCAAAAATAAAGTAAATCTACAAAAAAAATGTGTATTTATCATGATTTGATAGATCTTTGAAAATTTTACTCCGTATCCATTTCAAACTAGATAGGTAGCTGTGGCTCTCTAATAAGTGTATGTACCTAACACTTCTGAGTGATTATATTTGAAGTTATTACTACAAAATGTACATACCATATTATATGCAATTGTCTAGTTAGTAGTTATGATGTGGATTGTTATAAATTAATAGCATATGCAGTTGTTGAGTAGTGGGCCACAATTGTAGAGGGGTAAAGGAAAGTTGATACTAGACATTTGTATTAAAATCTGTCTAGCCTAATTCCGCTTAGATCAGCCCTAATCATAATTACACTCATAATGACCTCCACTTGATGGTATGAAAGAAAGCAGGTTTGTGTGGAAAATAAGTGGCATATATTGAGAGGAACATGAGAATCACAAATAAGACAACCAAGCTATCATTTTAATGATTTGAAATATAATCCCACTTGTGGTATACAGTAATCATATTATTGCTGACATAATATATGTATCTATTCATTACAAATGTATTTTGTTGTCTCTATCACTATTTGGATGTAGGATATGAGTCTGAGAATTGATGGGTTTTCTTTGGGTTTTTCTAATTTGATCATTGTTGATTTTCTTTGGAATGTCTTCATGTGATTTAAGAAGAAATTCCTCAGCAAGCCTCAACCATATTTTTATTCAGGATTTCCATTTCTTGACTTCAGCATTTCACTGCAGCACAATATATCGGAATAAGCTTTAGGAATAGAGGAATATGGAATGTAAAATATATGTAGTACAAGAGTTTTCTGTCAACTTTCCATTTGCATTCTTCTTGTTTTTTCTAAAACTCTGGTTTGTCATCTGTATCTTAACTTAATGATGCTTTTTCGGTACATAGGTAACACGATTCAAGTGTGGTGGAGTGTGTCTTGGAACGGGGGCGTTTCACACACTGTCTGATGGAGTATCCTCCCTCCATTTCATCAACACCTGGTCAGATGTGGCTCGTGGCCTCGCTGTTGCAGTCCCACCATTCATTGACCGCACCCTCCTTCGTGCCAGGGACCCTCCGACCCCAGCGTTCGCACACAGTGAGTATGACCACCCTCCCAAGCTCCTGTCATTACCCGAAGCCAAATGCGCCCCTAACGCCAACACCGCCATGCTCAAAATCACCCAAGACCAACTTGTTCATCTCAAGAGCAAGTCCAAACATGAGGGTAGCACATATGAGATCCTAGCAGCCCACATATGGCGGTGTGTTTGCAAGGCCCGCGGACTGCCCGACGACCAACCAACAAAGCTCTATGTTGCCACCGATGGGCGGTCCCGCCTTTGCCCTCCTCTTCCACCGGGCTATTTAGGTAATGTGGTTTTCACAGCTACACCAATGGCCGAATCGGGAAGTCTCCAAACTGAACCACTCACAAACTCAGCGAAGAGAATCCACTCCGCGTTGGCTAGGATGGACGATGGGTACCTGAGGTCAGCCCTCGACTTCTTGGAATGCCAAAAGGATTTGTCCAAACTCGTGCGCGGCTCAACCTACTTTGCAAGTCCCAACCTAAACATCAACAGCTGGACTAGGTTGCCCGTTCACGAGTCGGATTTCGGTTGGGGAAGACCGGTCCACATGGGGCCAGCCTGCATTTTGTATGAGGGGACGGTGTACATATTGCCCAGCCCGAACAAGGACAGGACGTTGACCTTAGCGGTGTGTTTGGATGCTGAACATTTGCCACTCTTCAAGAAACTCTTATATGATATATAATCCAAACTTCCCAACAGTGTGATGATAGAACCGTTTTTGGATTTAACTATAGTGTTTCCTTCCCACGTCCCTTTTTGTCTCTGCCTTCAAAAAATAAGTGCTACCTCTATGATATGATAGGAAGGAATATGTATCTCTTCAATTCTTCATCCATCCATCCATGTTTTTTTGCAATAATAGAACTACTTCTGTTATTCCACTTCATCTACGTCTATTACTAGGTACTTCTTATATGATACGAAGGAATATGTATCTCTTCAATCTCATTTAAAACAAAAGCTGGTGCTAAAATAGTGTATTGGAGCCCAATGCCTGATTGGGTCTAGGGTGATACGGTTATGGTTTTTCTTGGAACCGACATTTTATCAAAGAATCGGAATCAGATGGTTCTTGATCTGAGACTAGAAATGACAAAAAACAGACAATGAAGAAATCAGTTTGGGAGCAGAGTATAAAATAAAACTGGTTGTCTTTTCATAAACTTATGCAACTTGAATAACAAGATTTAACGGGGAACTGTTCACAATACAAGGAAAAACACAATTTCATGGGTCAGGAGTCAGGACTCCGGATTGCGGGGAGCACTGGAGCCTCGAATCCAACGTGCACATATTTCTCAATTTACCTGAGCACGATTTTGACGAGCAAACTACAATGGGGGATGTGCGTAATTTTCACATTTGACATTTCACTTTGACCATCTCCAACAGTTTACGCCATTTTTTACACTAAAATGGTGTAAACATCACATCATACAGTATTTTATCTCCAACAGTTTACACCATTTTCATCACCAAAAAGGAATATTCCATTTTTATTCTTTTTACTAACTTTTTACCATTCTTATATTTAAGTATCTAATTATCATATATTTATACATTAGCCCCTCATTTAATATTTTGAAATTTCACACATTATTTTACACATACAAACTAAAATACACCATTTTAATATGTATTTTCACACATTTCTCTAATTAAAATACAATAATCAATATTTCACAAATACAAGCTAAAACCACGTAAAATTAAATATTACCCCGTACAATAATACTATACTCCCTCCGTCCCTTAAAATTTTGCCAACTTTCCTTTTTTGGTTGTCCCAATAACTTTGCCACTTTCTATTTTAAGTAAAGAATTTGTGGTTCCAGTTAATTCTCTCTCCTCTGCACAAACCTCAACCACACAGTTTTTACTTTATTAATCTCCGTGCCGGTCAAACTTGGCAAAGTTTCAAGGGACGGAGGTAGTATTAGTTTGTGTTATGTGGGTGGAAGCATGAGTTGTACGTAGAAATTATGTTTGCAGAGTAATAGCAATATCTTATTAGAGATAAGCTGATAAATTAAATACGGAGTAATACAAATGAAACATCAAATACCGAAGTTATGATTAGCACGCATATACACTTTGTAAAAAAAAAAAAGATAGCGTAAGGGATGGTGTGCGCCATATATGGCGTAAACCCAAACTCCCTCCCCCATTTTGGTGGAATGGTGCAAAGAATGGTGTAGCTATTGGAGCATTTTTTTTGGCAAATCCACCATTTTGGTGTAAGAAATGGTGATGGTTGGAGTTGCTCTTAGCAGGACACTGAGCTTGACCGGACATTTTGAAAAATATTTTACACAGAATTTTTTACGCTTGAAATATAGACATTTTAAAAATTTGGGCTGAGCCGAGACCAAGATTAGTCCTCCCCTAACTATGCTCCTATCAAATAACTGAACTGGTACAAAAAATATTTTTTGAAAAAAATCACGCAAAATTTCTAACTTAAAAATTGAATACATTTTATAAATTTGGAGTGAGTCAGGATTTAGGTTAGCCCCCTAGATCTGCTCATGATCTCAAAACCATGTAATTAATTATTTAGAGTATGTTTGGTGAACATGTTTTTCGACTTATCGGGCTTATTAGTCAACTTTTTCACCAAATACGTATCTTTTGATTTCACATGCTGAGTTGTGTAATACTACGTAATAAGAAAAAGATACGTAACTTTTGATTTCGTACGCTGAATTGTGTAATAATAAGAAAAGGTATGATTGTGGTTACTTTTCTGACTGTACTGACTAAACTTTTCTTTATTTTATTAATCAAAATATATCTAAATATAACTTTTTCACAAATAAACAGAATCAACCAATATAATCAATTCAATCAGAACTTCATAATTTTAAGTAGAATTAATAGATTCAACCAATTTTGATATTAGTAAAGAATTTTAAAAATCATCTCATTCATCTCCTTTGCCCATTTACTCGACCGTCTCTTTAACCGATTTCTCTAATTTCTTTTTCCTTATTTTTCTTGCCTTTTATAATTATTTTCATTTTCTTCACTAAAATATTAATAATCCTATCACAATTTTGCTCCTTTCTCTTCAACTTAAATTTTGAATAATTCTATATTTTTTATTCTTTATCAATCCACAAGGATGGCAACTAAAATTTTATCAACTTTTATTTGAGCTCTAATTACATTTTTTAATTGATGTGACTTATATTTTCAACAATATAACTAGTGGTTTTGATAAGTCACGTTTGCCTAATTGCCTTGTTGATGATAAGTCCGGCAATGCTCTAGAACATCTCAATTCTCAATTATTAAAAAAGAAAAAGAAGTACGGCGTTGAATTTATGTGGTACAAATGGAAATGCAGCCCCACGTGCCCAAGTCGGTTTTTGCAATGGGAAAAGACAACAATGGGGTTAGTTGTGCACATTTCCCACCTACATTTACACCTTCTAAATAGACCCGGTAGGCATAGTTCAACTAGTAACGAGAAAGTGCCACAAGGTTAGGTTCCAAGTTCGAATTCCGGCAACTGCGATGAGATGTTATTATATTAAAAGTGCATAGGGTCTCTGCAAGTATCGGGGCAGACCTCACTTTCTATCTGTGTTATTGTGATTATAGTCCAATTTACATCCTCCCATCATATCGTCTGATTGGTGTTGGGGGACTCTGGGATGAGGTGTATCTTTTTTTTCCTAAATAGACCTGTCATCCGTGAAGCCCTGTACAGGACTCCAAATGTGAAAGAGGCCAAAATCGTATTTACCACTACTTTGTACTTTTCCACGGGTTCTAGAAGGACTCTCCTCCGCCGTTCATCTTACTCCGCCACGCATCCGCTCTTCTGGCATGTTTTCCATCTTAACATATGGTACACCTGGTGGGGCTAGTAATCCGAGTTTTTACACTTTTGGTCACCGACACGCATGTTTTTATTTGGAAATTTGTTGGTCTAGTTTTGTTTGGTTTGATTTGATTTGATAAATGTCTAATCTTTGTGTATTTATAATTAAAGAAATCTAGTCTGATCTAATCTGGTCTGATCAGTTTAAGTTTGATCTGTTTAAATTTTGTTTGGTTTGATTTGAGCCTGAAAATAGTCAAAGTAAAAACATCCGTATGTCACTCATACTTTAGATTTTTTCAACTTTTAATCCTTCAATTGTGTGGAAGATATTTTTGGAAATATTCATATTTGACCTTTCGACTTTTATAAAAGTGATTTTTTTTGTCTTTTAACTATTGTGACAAAAATCATAGTTGAAGGACTAGAAGTGTGGATGTGATAATGTATCCCATTCTTCGAGGTTTCAAAAGGATGTTACTACTGCTTTAATATTCTATTTCTAGATGTTTCAACTTTCAAAAGGTGGAATCTCCCACTCCAGGAGCCTGCATACCCCGACCCGATAGAATGGAGGAGGAGTAAGTTACGGTGACTCAATCGATTTAATTGTGGTAAATCTTATATCCGTGTGCATCAGAAGCCAAATCTAACACGGATGTCATGTCAGGTCTAATCAAGCAATAAGCATATGAAATAGAGTCAAATTGAACTAGTAAATTTGATTTGAAGCAAATTCTACTCATTTTTGGAAATCCGTAGTTGAAACCAAGCTGAACCATTCCCACAAACGAAATAAATCGAAATCGGTATGAATCTGAGAAAAATCCACCGTAAGTTACAGTGATAATGATCTTCATTATCATGAATGGGTTAATTATTTTTTATGACGATCTCCATCAACATTAATAGACTATTAATAGTGATAATGATCTCCATCAACATAAACAGACTACTAATACTCCCTCCATCATTGCAACAATGTCCGGGTTCATATGGATTAACAAAAGTCATTCTTAATCTTTTATTTTATATATCAAATATTTATCAAATTTGTTTCTGGTTTTGCGATATTGTAAAATTTTTAATGTAGTTTCTGAATATGTAAATTTTTAATGTAGTTTCTAGTAAACTTTTAATGGGGCGGAGGGAGTATTTAACGGTAATAAATTACTCCGTAATAACGATCTCCATCAACATAAATAGAAATACAGGACCGAACTTATGACCAGCGTACTACGGAGTAGTATCGGACTATCGGTACATTATTGTTCGAGTGAAAATAATTATTTCCCTTGAATTGAAAACAAAAAAACAAAACCAACAAAAAACCCCTGGCTATAAGAGTAAGCCACCAAACCTAGGCATTGAGAGGACGCCATTCATCATCTTCTTGTCCATGTCGAACCACAATAGCATAAATGGCATAGATTATTCCCGGAACATAACCTAATAAGGTTAGTATCAAGCATATCAAAAACTCACACTGTAACACAAAAAAAAGTAATAGAGCAAGGTTAGTTTAACTTTTTTTTAATTATGCAAATAGAATTTGTAGAAATGGAATGTACTCTGCACTGAAATTTTGTAGTAATTGGGGATAATATTAGGGTGATTTTGCTCACTACTGTAATCTTTAGAAGAGATTAATTATATTCAAAGTACATATTGAATTAAATGAAAGAAAATAATTTCTAGCGAATCAATAGGAAATAAATTATAGAACATCAGTACATTTTTATTAACATTCAAGCCAACCCGTCTAATATGCAAATCCAATAGGGAATTATTCGAACCAGACCATATACTATCTTATATGCGAGTATAATTCTGATCGTTAGAGAGCATTACACCAAGTGACAAATAGAAATGGTCAGAAGTGGTGCACATTATGAATTTACAATACATGACGGTGCACATTTACCATTAAGATAATGTATAGTTTACATCGACGGAAAATGTTGAATGTATTTACATAAATGTCATTGAATTTTCTGATTCATGATAATCCATATTCCTGTTTCACATAATGCACAATTTCAAATTATATATATATATATATATATATATATATAATTTAATTTGCATTCATTTATTTGCTACAATTTTGTTTTTGGGGTGTATTTTAACTTTTGTTATACTTTTTCTTTTTTGCTGTTTTTTCTTTCAATGTGCTCAATAAAATAATATGATTTCTACTTTTTCCTCTTCTCTTAATTTCATATTCCGTATATTTCTAGTAGTGTGGTTATCAGGAAATATACATTTATCAAATTTGGTATGAGAAAATCGTAATATAACGGATCAAAAGAAGCGGATTAGACAATCATAGCGGAAGTACGGACTAATAATAAGTACAGACATATTACGATTACTATTCCAACTAGAGAATTGAATAACTTTTTGTCTGAATTAGATCTACAACAGGGGATCACAACAGAAATTAAGAAATTCAGGAAGAGTATAGTATCATACACTGCAGCAACCGTGTCTAAAGAAAACTCCCAAAGGTGGAAGCAAAATTGCAAGCAAGATCTCCAAAAAGACCTCACACCTTGAAGCCATTCCCGTTAATTGTACCCTTAAAATTTAGAGTCCTCTCTTTTTGTCTTTGATCTATTACCAATTGTTTGATTGGAAATAAATAATTACGTTGAGAAGTGGATATCTAATGAATAATTAGTGTTGGTAATTTTGAATCTAACCAAATTACGAGCGATTAAGGGTTTAATTTGCGGTGGTTGGAAGTCGGAACTCAATGATTGACTTTGTGTATATAATAATGAG